TCTCTCTCTCTCTCTCTCTCTCTCTCTCTCTCTCTCTCTCTCTCTCTCACCAGCCTCCGCTCTGTCCGCTCTCACGGCAAAGCCGCCCGCCCTCCTGGCACCCAGGCGGGCAAGAGGCACAGTGCTGAATGTGCTAAATTAGGCCATTAGAGAAATTCATTTCTCTTTATTAGTCTGTGTCAAATCCTTTTTATTAGTGGCTGGAAACGACCTCTCTTCTGCAGTAAAATGTCATGCCAGTTCACTCCTTTTATTTGTTCTGCACTGACGAGGCTCAAACTCTCCCTGAATCAGTGCGGCAAGATTTATTTCCTCCAAATTTTGAACGGCTTAAGAGAGATTGGGGTGGAGGGGGCCGGTCAGGTGGGAGGCGACACAGGAGAAGATCAGGAAAAGCCCAGGCAGGAGAAGGTCGGCTCTCGTGGAGGTCAAATGCCCTTGGCTCTTTGGGACTAAAGTCTAGTGGCCGCCCTCATGTCTGGCTCATCGTGGTCTGTGATGGGCCGTCTTGCCTCTGCAGGGTCTGTGGGAGAGAGGACAGTGGGGAGCGCCTCCAGAAGACCCATGTTCTCGTGGGACAAACAAAAGCTGGGTGTCCAAGAACAACAGAACCAGTGTCCCACCTCTAATAGGAAATTCTTCATCTCAAGTGGCCACAGTTCCTGCCGTTCGCCCTACCCCAACCCTAAGTCTGTGACTTTGGCTGCTGGAAAGGACTCGTTGAGGGGGGCTTCTGGCCTCCTTTCCAGTCATGTGGAGGTGGCTTAGAAATATAGTCAACCCTTAGGCAGGCCTAGGCTGGGCCGCTGGGGCTGGCCAGGGGACAGCCTCAAGGAAACGCATGGCATGACTGCCACTGGAGAACCCAGCTGAGTCCTTGGGAAGCAGCCTGTTTCTCGGGGGATGGTGTGGGGTGTCTCAGAGAACCCCAGGCTTGGCATAACAGGTAACAGTCCTAGTTCAGTTTTATTGGGGATCCAGATGGATAGAGCCGGGGAGCCATACGTAAGCCCCTGACCCTGGATCTGGTTCACATGAAACACTGCAGGTAAGTTCAGGCACTACCTGAGCTCCTGGGCTCAGGGGTTCAGATATCAGCATAGGGGGAAGCAAAGGCAGGAGCCTGACGAGGCTGGGAGACGAGGAGGGAGGAAGCTGCTGGTGTGTTTCAGGTAGGGAGGGACTGGAGCGCATTTCAGGTGCGGAGGAGTTGGAGAGAGGTGGCTGTGCTAGCATCCATGAAGTCTGCTCTGGCTCCAGGGACCTTGAGTAAACTTGAGGAGAAAGACAGAAATCTGACAGATAGTAGAAGTCATAGAACGCTCTGTACACACATACCCACCTCGGATCTGATACCTGCAGGTGACAGGTTTATAAAAGGGGCCTTGCTATGGTTCTACTCGTTGGGTGCACTCTGTTTCCCAGTGTAGCTGATAGTGCTTCCCACACACTCCCAGCCCCTGAAAGCCCAGCTTTGAGTCCTGTCATCAGATTTCCTGCTCACCTCTGCGACCTCATCTCCCTCCCGTCCCCTCCCGTTTTCATCTGGTTTGGAATTTGTTCCAGAAATGTGTCAAGCCCCTTCCTATCACAGGTGCTTTGCTTTTTCTCTGTTGGAAGTTCATCCCTCAGATCCTTGCATGACTACCTCATCACCATCCAAGGCTTAACGTCAATGTCACCTCCTCCCAGAGGCCCTCCCTGACTACTCTAAGGGAAGTTTCTCCCTGCAGGTAAAGGGCAATCACAGAGGAGACCACATTCCTCTGCCCTTCCCATCTCTAGAGCTAGTAGCTACAATACTCGGTCAGGAGCAGATCCCTCTTCCCCACACCACACACCACTCCCGCAGTGCACACAGAACACACAACCACACAATAAGTTTACACCTGTCAAGTGGATTCACAGCACAGAGGTGTGCACACCAGGGGTGTCCCACACCCCAAGTGTGCATATGGACAGCAGACAGAACCCCACGCGTGTTCACACAATATCACACAGGGCCGACGATCAGACAGCTCTCACTCTTGACGGCCCTCACTCAGCCCCGCCCACATAGCACAGGCACATTCAGGCCAGTGCCTCTCCGCCCAGCAGCTGCCCACCCTTCCTCCAACGGCGCAAATGGTGACCGGCGGCTGCCTGGGGGCTCGGGCGGGGGCTGCACCCCCACCACCTGGCACGATGCTGCGGATTATTAGTTCCTGGTAATTTAGTGCCCTTGTACAGAGTCGATTTGTGCCTTTCATTCCTAATTGATCTAGTGGCTGTTTAAATGGCAGCAGGCATCTGTTGAGAGTAGGAAGGTTCATAAGGCGCAATAATTCATAACACCGTCTGGAATTTGCCTTTCATGTCCCTCAGCTAAACCACTGCAGGGCTCTGCTTAAATTACAGCCACTGAGGCTTTCTTTGGTATTCCACTCAGGGCCAGGAGAATCTTGCATTAAACTGGGATCAGGTTAGATTAGACTATAATATGCTTCGGTATTAGTTGCTGCAAATGAAGACTTAGACTGGAGTTTAACCCCTTCACCTGGTTTTCTCTTTGTCCTCAGCCCGATGGCTAAGCTAACCCATTGTTTCCCTAGCAGGGCAGAAGAGTCCTTCTGGCAATTTGGGGCTGCAGATAGGTGATCCTCAGATCTTAGCAGTGTAGGTGTCAGTGCATGGGGAGCAGTGTAACCCAGCCTGCAGCCTCGGGGCCCAGCTGTTTCTGCAGCAGCTCCCAAGTGAGGGAGACAGTATTTGGGGCAGGCTCTGCCCAGCCAGGCAGCACCTCTGAAGTCAGAACTTGTACCCTTTCTTCCCCCTCATCCCCTGAGACTGAGTAGAATGACCTGCAGGGTTTGAGTGTAAATGGAACAAAACACCTCTTGTCTGTCTGCCTAGAATGATTAGAATCTCAGAATGGGCATCCCGCCTTGTAGGGATTGCCCATCTACACGCACAGGATGATCGGTCCTTCTCCTGCAGTGTCCAGTCTTAGTGTGCTGGAGGAAGAAGGCATGGTCTATTTTCCTTTTTAAGACTTACTGTGCTTTCATTTACGGTGGCCACCGTATGTGACTACTTAAGTGAAAAGGAACTAAACTTTAAAATTCAGTAGACCCAAGAGTCATATTTCAAGTGCTCCTTGGTCCCTGGTGGTCAGTGACCACCATACTGACAGCAGAGATGGTATGTTCCATCCCTGCAGAAAGTCCTATTGGATAATGCTGGCAGAGGCCTAGGGGCCTGGTCAACACACTTCCTTCTCCCTCTTCCATCAAGGAGGGCTTACTCAGAACACGAGAAAGACCAGAGAGAGATGTGCAGAGGCTCTTAAGAACCATAGTGGAAGGGAATGGGCCTCCAGACCCAAGAGTCTGAGCACACCCATGAACGTGTGCTGGGTGTTCACACGTGCTGCAGAAACGTAAGAACGGTATGTATGTATGCATGCAAACAGGCGCATACACATAACATATACGTTCAGTCACGGACAGTGATGACAAAGATAGGCTTGATTCTGCCCTCATAGAGCTCACCATCTAGTGGGGAAGGCAGATGACAAAGCGGACAATTCACGGAGCCTTCAGCTCCGGCTGGAGGGGAGGGGCAGTCTGTGAAGCTTCCCAGACATCTAGGCTAAGACCCAGAGAGCCATTCAGGTGTGCAATCAGCTCCACAGTGCATCGCAGGACCATACCGCCCACCTCACACGCACACACTCTTCACTCACTGAGTCCTTGGCAGTCACCGAGTGTTTCTGAAGTGTCTGCTGTGAGTGTGCAGAATATGTGATTATTAAGATGGGGCAGTCTTGGGGAAGCAGCGAGCACCGATCGATGCAAACAATCCTTTTGGTACAGTCGCGCTAAGTGCGTGGTGATGGCGAAGTGCGGAGAGATGGTACACATGTAACCGGGGTATGTGACCTAAACCGAGTCACCCCACAGATGCGGGGCAGGCAGAGACGTCCGCCCTCCGTGTGGGAGGAGGCGTCATCAGGCTCACTCACACACGCAGCTGCTCACAGGCACAGGGCCACGGTGCTCCCCACCTCAGCCGGCTGCAGACAGCCATGGATAGGTCTTGCACAGAGCGATCCTGGACAACACCCACATTTCCTTCCTGCAGCCAAAAGTGGACACCTCTTTCTTCATCTCTCACCAAATGTCCATGCAGCTGATCTGACCGAAGGGACAACTTAGGCACCAGTGGGGAGGCCCCAGGAACCGAAAGGCGGTTTGTGAGGCCAGGGCATGACATGCTGCCTTCTAGACTGACCATGGGGGCAGGGCACATTCTCAAGGAGTGGGGCTTTGGGCGGACACATGATGGGAATGTGGGGAAGGGTCCCTGGTGGCTTCTGAGCGCAACAGCCGCAGGTCTCTGTGTGTGCGCATGTGTGAGCTCTTGATGTCCCCGCAGGCACCCTCTTTTCCCGCTCCTGACGCTGCTGTTTGAGAAATGTGAACAGGCCACCCAGGGCTCTGAGTGCATCACCTCCGCCAGCTTTGATGTGGACATCGAGAACTTTGTCCACCAGCAGGAGCAGGAGCACAAACCCTTCTTCAGCGATGACCCAGAACTGGACAATCTGGTAAAGACCCTTCAACCCCCACCCTGACTGGGGTGGTCATACCCACTGACTCCCACCCTAGAAATGATCCTTTCACTCATTCAGTCAACAATTTTGCCTGCTCCCCGGTTGGGGCAAGTAATAGACTGCACCCTGGCAGCTGAGAACTCTGAGTCTCTTCAACCAGGAGCTGCAGGTATACAGATCCTGCTGCCAAGGTCTCTTCTCTGCACCCACCCCACACCCTCCCCTGCCTCTCACCCTGCTCCCCCCCCAACCCCTGCAGCGCAGACAGGAGAAAAGGAACAGCATAGAAGCCAGAACGTCAGGTAGCAGTTCTAAGGGCTGCTGTCCTGGCATATTAGTGAGTTTGTCGTGGGCTGTCAGCTGCAGAGAGGAGCTGATGATTGGGGTGCTCCAGGGTGGAGAAGAGGGGTGACAGGAATACTCAAGCACTTCAGTAGAAAGGCCTGGAGACACAGTCACGTTGAGAGAAAGATCAGCAGGTCCTGCCAGTGAGGGAAATGAAATGGCTCAGATGCCCCAACCTCACTTGTCACCCAGCTCATCATGGCAGTTTAAAAATACACATTCCCGGGGCCCCACCACCTGGAAATTGTGATTCAGTAAGTTTGGTGGACCCTGACAATCGACATTTTTAAGTCTTCCTGGGCACTTGCAACCCTCAATAAAATCAGGCAATCACTGGGCTGGAGGGCTTTGGAAGTTCTCCCTGAAGCCCTGAGAATTCCACCAAAGGAGAGAGAGCGCCATAGACAGGCTTCCCTATTCATTTGTCACAATAAACCCCATGCATCGTGGGAGTTATTCGCCGCAGTCCTTGATTTTCCTGTGGGTGGGTCACTCGGCTCACACACAGTGACTGTGGATGTTCTGCACACTCTCTCCCACAAAGTGCTGGCCGCTTGCACCCTGAGGTTAGCTGGTACCTACTCCCCAAAGGAATCAGAAAAACAGATGTGGGTCCAAGAAGGAAGGAGGGCGACACGTGTGTGCTCACACACACGCCAGCACACACGTGCACAGGCACACAGGTGCACTGGCGAGCAGGTGGCTCTGTGTCTTGAGCCATCCACAGCTGCTTTGCTCAAGAGCTGAATACAGTACTTTATGGAGTCCGGGAGGGCTGTGAAGAGAATGCAGCCTGGCCTGGATGTGTGAAGGTTGTGACTGGTGACAGGCACCGAGAGAGGGAACAGGCCTCGGCCAGAACGTATGCACCTGCCCAGTCACCACTAGGAGTCTCGCGTAGATCTGTGAATGCGTCTCTGCTCAGCTCTGGTCCCTTCCCTGGCTGGGATGAAGCAGCCACACTTCCCGGGAGCACAGCCGCCTGTCTCTCAGGTCCCTGGGGGAGTTTTCCTGTGCAGGTTCTTCAAATGGTTGAATAGTAAGGGCAGGCTGACCCACTCCTCCCAGTCCTGAGGAGCAGGTCTTTAGAACCTAAGGTATCCTTGGAGTCAGGGGATGAAACTGACATTTCTGTGGAAACCAGAATCAATCTGGGGGGGTTCCACTTACCTCACTTGATACAAAAAGAAACTGCCAGCTACATAGGCAGCTAGGGGACCCCTAAAACCAGGCTGAGTAATATGAAAGAATTGAAGCTTTTTTAAGATGCAGGGGTCCTGGGGAAACAAACCTCGCCTTTCTTGCTCACCACTGCTTTTCAGGAGGACTATGGGAGCCCTCCAGAGACAGCCTCCTAGTCCAGGTCAGCCTGGAAAACACCAGAAGGGTGACCAGCTCATGCGGCCTTCTCACCCGTGCTAACGGGGTCTTTCTGGGTTCTCTTCACCCAAAAAAACGATTTCTTCACTCAATCCAACAAAACTCGGCCAAGTGTCTGCTCCATGCTGTGCCTCACCGAGGGGAAGTGTGTTTTGAGGAAACTTCCCAGGGGGTCCAGATGTCTGACCTCCCCTGGTCATCTGTCTTGGGCAACTGGGCTTAGAGTGGTCCAGTTGGTACCACCGTGCTTAGACACCCATGGCCAGATGAGCCCGCATGCATTGGTCACAGTTGGTGGCCAGTTGATTAAAACAGAGGTCTCTAAATAGAGAAAGTGAAGAAGCATTTGCAGACACAAGGCCAGAGCCTAGTTTCTCTGCAACTGTAATGATTTCACCCCTTTGAAGCTCGGTTTCCTCATCTGTGGACTCATGCACCTAAGCTCATCTGCAATCATTTAAAAAAGTTAATGAGGTGGCTTCTGGAACTAAATGGCCTTTTAAAATGCACAGCGCCCAGAAGGTTAACCTCACCTGTAGTATCTCTAGGACGAGGCATTCCAGCTTCCCAGCCTCACGTGCCCACCAAAAAAAAAAAAAACTGATTGAGCCCAAAATCTTTATTTGGGGAGCCAAGGGGGTTCCCTTTGACTTGTAGCCCTGTGTTGGGAGGGGGTAGATGAAGCGGCCAGTGCAGGAGCCATCATTAGAACAAGAATCATGTAGCCAGCACAGCCGAGATGCACATAATTAGAAATTAGAAAAAGGTCAGATCGCGTCATTATCAGCTCAATCAGCTGCCGAGTGCCACAGCCAGTTAATTTGGCATCTGTATTTTTTACAACCCCGCACACGTAGCCCAACGGACTGTAACTCTTTATCCGGACAGATATACTGCGCAGCAGAGCAGGGACATAAAATGAGAGACCCCAAGCAAATGAGCTGAGATAATTGAGAGATTTATTTTTTATATATATGTGTGTCAGGGCGGTTTGCCTTTGCCCTTGAATGTTGACTTTCAGAGATGGGATTGTCAGGAGGACACTGGGGTCCCCCCCAAACTTTGCCACACCCTGGGCCCTCCATTGTACCCTGGCCCTGCTTTCCCACAAGCCCGTGGCCCCCCTGGACCCACATTTGAGCATGAATCCTCCCACCTCCAGACACGGCCTCCCTCCTCCAGGGAGATTCTCATGGCACTGCCTGCTGTTCCCAAGTCTCTCCCAGACGAGTTCCCATGGGAAGGCTGCCGGCACTCGCCAGAGCAGCCAAAGATCAAAGAGGTTTCCAGATTGCAGGACTCCCAGGGAATGTAGCCCCCTGGCTAGCCAGCTGCTTCCACAGCATCATGCGTGCGTGCGTGTGTGCAGGGAGGAAAACCACAGAGGCAAGTCCATTTTATAGATGGGGACACTGAGGTCCAGAGAAGGGAAATGATTCATCAAAAGCCACACCCAGGCCTGCTGGCCGCTATGAGAGCCTACCACTCTTCCTCCTGGGAGAAATAAAACTTCCGCTTACACATAGTACCACCACTGTCTCCCCCCCCAAATTTCAGTATAATGGGGGTGACTTTCCACCACCCCCTTAGCAGCCAAGCTGGCTATCGCCCCTGGGGATGCCAACTCCATCTCCCACCCCACTCCTAACCCCCAGTGCTCACCAGGCCTATTTTTTTACCCGGCCCAGCAGCCTCTGACTGGCAGTCTGTAAAGTTTGTAAAATTTGCAAGTTCCCCAAACCCCTTTGAAAGGTAAAAGCTTTTTGTTTTATAAAATCTGATTTACAGGCCCCCAGTGCAGGGCCAAGGTTTTATATATTATGCAAGATTTCAAACCGAGGCTGTAAAACGTACGGTTTCAGTTTCATGCATGGAATTTTTTTATGTGTAAATTTTTTAACATTTATGGGGCACGTTTTAATGAGACTCTGGTGTGGCTCGAGGGACAGATTATGGCTGTCTGACCGCAAAGCCAGCTCCAAAATTGGCCCCCACCCCCCAGGCCCCTGGGCCCACTCTGAGGAGGCCGGGCCCGGAGGCCGGAGGCTCTGAATAAGAAGTCACAGGAAGGAGTCAGCCGAGCTCTGGGCCCACAGAGACCCCGGGCCAGCCCCACTCACAGTCATTCACTTCCGACTTCAGTGCAGACTCTGCCCAGAGAGAAACAGAAAATCCTGCAGCAGCCAGGAAAAGGAAAGATAAGAAGAAGCAATGCGGTGATAATTAGCATCTGTCCAGCACTTACTTGGTGCCTAGTGCTGTTCCACACACTTTACGTAGGTTATCTAATTTCATCCTTTTTTTCAAAGCCACGAGGCAAGTATTATTGTTAGCCCCATTTTAAGAGGAGAGAGATGATTGAGAGGCAGGTGAAGTCACTTGTTTAAGATCACAGGTCAGGTAAGAGGCAGAGGGCCCTAAGTCCCGGGCCTACCTCCCAGCAGTTACAATGCTCTGCAGCTAATCTTCTCTTAGCACTTTCTGTGTGCCAAGCCTTATTTTCAGTTCTTTGCTAATCACACCAAGGTAATCCTCAGTGCGGCTCACTATTATGATCTCAGTTTGCAGATGAGGAAACTAAAATGCAAAGATCATGTGGATTGTCCAGTCTCCCCAGAGATGGAGGAATCAGCCTGCCAAACCCCTTGTTCTCAAGCTCCCTGCTTTGCAATTTAATTCTCACAATAATCCCTCGAGATATTTATTATTCTCCCCTTTTTACAGAGAAGGAAACCAGGAGCTGAGAACCCCATGTCCCTCTGTTCCAGGGCTGGAATTTGCACCCTGTGGGACTAACTCTCAAATACTACCTTCTTCCCATGTGACTTCTCCACATTCTGAGGACTTCAGAATGTCCCACTTATTGACTTCAACCCGATTTAACTTGCTATGTACAGCGGTTTCCAGCAAATGGTCCCCCCACCCTCCAACCAGCTGGGAGTCATTCAGACCCTGGTTACCACCATCTTCCAAGCCAACCGTCTCCCATGTCCCATCCCCATTCCTTGTTGCAGTGACCCCACACTTCCAACTGGCCAGGCTGAGCTGATCTGGTCTGGAAAATTTTCTGACTTGACTTAGGCTTTGGCTGCCCTACTGACCCGCAGGAATATCAGCACACTTTCAGGAATGCGTGTTTATAAACTCCTTGGGTCTGTAGTGAGGGGAACAATTCCCACTTCCTGACTTGCAGCAGCCAGGCTGGGTGAAAGGAATCCACCGGCCCTCCCTCTGGCCTTCCCTCCGAGCAAGGCTGTCTACCTCCCTAA